CTCTGTGTTCCGGAACAAGGGACAACCCATTCGGCTTTTTGTGTGGTGAACTTCTTCAAAAGACTACTTTTATGATTATCTAAAATCATTGACAAATTTTTATGTTTGCCAATTCAAAAGCGGACTTGAGACAGAAATCCTGAAAACTCTGATACTTAAGTCGACTCAAGGATGGCCTAGAGACGAATTTCCTAAAAAAACTCAGATAATTAAGTGTACTTAAAAGGAAAAGGAATTTATCTACTTATATCCTAAGGATGTGTGAAAAATCGTATTGTTACAAACGTTAAACGGCTTTATAAGCGTTTAGCTTTAATTTCATTCAAAAAGATGCCTCATGATTGCATATCATATATACTAAGATTTTATCGAATTTTTCTTTACTGATAGTAATATAGAAAACTGAAAAATTAAGCAAATAATTCCGCGATATAAATGTAGTAAAGAAAATGAGGAAATCAGCCGATTCCGCTATCTTGGTTTTAACATTTCGATTTATCATTTATATATATATTTTAAAATACAGAATTCATAATTTTTTTTTACTTTTAAAATAAAGCGTTAGGATTTCAATTGACGAACATCGCCTGAAGATACCGAAAGGTTGAAACCAAGGTAGCGGAATCGGGTGATTTCCTAATTTTCTATACTTAAAAGCTCTGCATGTTATATTTTTATCTTTTTATATGTGTATTGGGCACTTTTTAATACTACTGTTTCCGGGTTTAATTCAACTCTGACCTTTAACTTTATCATATATATATATATATATATATATATATATATATATATATATATATATATATGCGAAGAAATTAAGATGAAAAATTGATTTTATTGACACCTTGACAATCACCTGTTATTTTTAAGAATGACACGACACACCCAGAATATAAACCCGTCGATCTCCAATAGCTTCAGTTATATTATTCACTAAGCGATGCTTAGATGTGGCTGAACCCTGAAAGTATGGAGCACCTAGTGAGGATCGTACTTACTACTCAGTAGTAAATGACATCTCGAGACAAGCTTGCTAACCATTAAACCATATCTTCAGATATAGCACGAAACATTGGTACGAAAATCTCCTAGATCAGTGAGCTAAACAATGAGGAAACGGTAAATTTCCAACAAGGAAAATAAAAGACAAAACCGAAGTGAAATTCATAATTTTTCCTCAGAAAGAAAAATGAAAGAAACAATTTCCAATAATTGCAAGGCCAGTTTTGGCAGTGATACATTTTATGAGAAAATCGATATTATATATTGATAGATTTTGTCAGAGATTTTCATTTTTCCACTTACTACTTTCGCAGTCTTTCAAGCAGCTTTTGAATTCTGCCACGTTGTTTCTGAAGTAATTTCGACAACGACGATCACACATGGTGAATACGTTCACCGTTAGATCAGCATCTGAAGAAAACATATAAGACATTATTTAAAAACAATTTTAACCATGAACATCAAGCATTAAAAGTCTGTCTACTCTTTTACATCTGGGAAGAAATTTATTTTATTGGAAAGAAAATTTGAAGTTTTGTTATACTCCCTGTTCCGCCATGGTAACAACGAAAAAAAAAAAAAGGGTAAGGAAATTAATATTGAAAAGTAAAGAAGGAAAAACCGCTCGATGTTTGTTAAGATTCGAAGAAAAAACTTTATTTTTGTACTTCACATTAAAAATCACATTAAAATATTTCTCAGCTAAATAATTTATAGTTACATTGGATATTGAAACCATTTTAAATACTCTGTCCTTAGTCTTTAAAATATCCCAAGTAGAAATAAAAGGGATGTGGAAGGACACAAAATACAGCACTCCAAGGACACAAATGCATGACTTGGATAAAACACATTCCTCACACTTTCACAAACGGAAGTTCAAACATTAATTTCTTCCATTTTACAAGGACTATCAAAAGAACATTTCTTGAATTGACAAGTTCTTTCAGGGACTATTCTGGAATATTCTCCATACGAAAAGTTCCCGATAGAATAAAGATTTCTATCTCATTTTGTTTATTCTTTTGTTTGTCTATTTCTTCAAACCAATTCAGGACAAGACCTTCTCAACCTCAAATGCAACTAAATGCAATAAATGTGGTGAGTGTCCCTTTTTAGATTTCTGTGGAAAGAATTACTTAATCCTCTCATACCACGTATTTAAAGACGGCAACCTGTTGCTACATATAGGAATTTCTCTTGCGTTGTTTACTGATAGTAATGTAGACAATTGAAAAAATGAGCCACTATTTACGCAACGTGTGTCTATATGTATGTTAGTGAATAAACATTCAAAGTAATTTATCGAGTCTAGAAAAATCCTTTCGTCACATTGGGAACTCCTCACCAGCGTGCATCCTTTAACAAGAATCGAACCTGAAACGTTATGGTACAACGCAAGCGTTTTACCACTGGACGGACGAACTTCGGTGACGGAGAAGAAACTAACTAGGCTCAATATAGCGTTGCTACTCACTAAATTTCGGCAGTGAGACTCATCCAAGTATATATAACCCAAACGGAGCAACGTTTTCTTTCATCAAGCCGCTTCCTCCAGAGCATTAGAAGCAGGAACAAGCAAGGATATATAAGTGATAGAAATGTTGGAGGATTTGAATAATTATCCATATATATATATATATATATATATATATATATATATATATATATATATGTATGTGTGTGTATTTTTCATATTTAGATTAAAGTATTAGAATGTGGTTGAAATGCAAAAAATGAAGGTTTATGCAGTTCATGAAGAAATTACTATGAATTATCAAACAAGTTAAAAGTGGTTCGCAAAGTTTCTTGTTAGATAATTCTCACTGAATTATATCAATTTTATTGACAGGTTGTCTGGTCGCATTTAACAACCTTCCAGGATGGCAGTCCATGAGATCGAATGAGAGCATTTGTGGCCAGACTCTTGCACTTGCCTTTTCTACAGAATAACTTTTAAAAATATATATTTTAAATAAATTTTAAATTAAAATTTATTAATAAAAATAAGAACTTTATAAGAACTATTTTAAGTTTTTAAATTTGTTTAAAATATACTAAACTATATAACATATAAATTTTTGAAGACTTTCATGTTTCTAGCTCGAAAACCTTTTTTCACTAATTATTGGCAAATCAAAAATACATTTTCGAAACGAGTTTACCTGTAATATATATATATATATATATATATATATATATATATATTGTCGTTTATTTTTCGACAGACTTTCATTTTTTCTAGATTTTCTTTTTCTTTTTTTTTAAAACCTTTTTTCCCTTTTGAGATTGATTTGATTATTGGCAAATCAAAAATTCGATGGATTTTCGAAACGAGTATAGTTACCTATATATATATATATATATATATATATATATATATATATATATATATATATATCGCTACTCTAGGTCATGAATGTTTGTCGGGCTTATTACAATCTTTAACAAAATATACTATAGGCATAACTTAGATGCTAAAATGATTCCCTTTTACTCTAAGTAAAATATATAATTTTTTTAAATCTCTAACCAGATATTTTTTTTTTATAATTTGTGTATCTATCTCAAGTGTGTTTGCTTATATGTGTATGCTTTAGTGTGTTTATGCATTTCTTTGTCTGTGAATTTTACGTATATGATCAGTAATGCTGAATGATATCATATTTCCTCAACACTACACCAGTCAGACTCCACACCCCAACCCTACAGTAAATGAATTTAGGCTTTTTTGAATTTTCGCCGATTTTAGGCCGGGCAAAATTTAATTTGCCCTTTTTCAATTGATACATTGTGCTAAAACACCTTCTACTGCACGAAATAAATTAATTAAAATGGATATTTGAAAAAAATAAGTTGAAATAAAAATGAGTTCTTTGAAAAACAGGACATATCAAATCATTAGAGATTTGTAAAATATTATTTATAAAATTAAAGCAAGAAATTCATTGCCTATTACATGTCTCCAGCTCAGATAGTACTCAGATCTACGTAGCCCGACGAGGCTCGTTAATTTTATTTCATTCTCTTTTTACTTATTTTCTTTCTTTGTTTTTTCTTTCTTTCTTCTTTCTTAGTTTTTATTATGAACAGTATCAACGAAATGTATTCGGTCAAGTTTTTTGAGGTACGGAGTTGAAACAATTAATTTTGGACCCAGCTGAAATCATGAATGAAAACGACTCACTATAAATGATTTTTGTTGCTTTGAAATAGATATACTTGAATGTTGACTCACTCGGGCTAAACCTGACAAGTCCGACCGCCGGAGTCACCACTGTTATATATATATATATATATATATATATATATATATATATACTATTTTTAAAGGAATTTAGAAGTCCTATTTCTTTGAGCCATGTTTCTCTGTTGTCTAAACTTTGTAGATGAAGGACAATCCTTTGTTTTCATCTTGTCCATAATTTGAGGATTATCTTCCATTTCCATATTCAGAATTTCATGTCAGTTTTTATGTATCGTTATATTAATCTTATTTTTGTTCTTTCGTTTCGTTTTCAGATTTGGAGTCAGACTAAAACATAAAAAACAGTTGCAAGTTTATTGTGAAGCTACTGTAAATTAACGAAAATTTTAAATGGTTTACGAAATTTCTTGTTGGAGAATTTTTATTGTATGATGTTTCCCATTCGAGTAAATAACGATAAAACGAAGAATTTGAGAGAGTTTAAAGTTACTGCGACACATTTTCAACACACAGACCCAAAATATATACAATTCAAGAATTGAAAAATTTTCTGATCAACTGGATAATGCTAATCGTTTTGATGTGCGATTTCCACAACATTATAAAATTTATAATTTATATGTGTTCTTTTAGGAAAAATCATTTGACCATTTAGTATCCATTTATTTTAGGTGAATAGAATTCTCCCGTGCACAGAGAATGAATCAATCGAAAAAAGTGACTACTTAAATCTTTAATTTATATTTGCTCTTTTTTAAGTTTCACCGCTTTTACGGTTTCAATTCTGTTTTTAGGAAAAATAAACAATTAAATTTAATGAAATTCTCCATTGATACATATAGATAGATAAATAGATAGATAGACTGAGAAAAGCAAAATAAGAAATTAAATTTAATGAAGATTGATAGATAGATAGATAGATAGATAGATAGACATCTTGAGATAGATAGATAGATAGATAGATAGATAGATATGTGGCACTATTAAGAAGGCGCTGGTAAATTGGAAAAAAGTCTTTCAAAATAAACTGGAAAACAAGAAACAAAAACGATGTTTTCCGATAGACTGAAAGTATACGGATAACAAGAAAAACGCTATTTTTTCGATAGACTGAAAGTATACTGATAATAAATTTTGGAGGAATGAGGGAGGAAGATGTTTGTTTTCTTTTCTCTCCCCACCTCGGGGTTCGGGTGTCTTAAGTGATGGTATTTTCTTAAGTGCCCACTCGACCCGCGCAGAGAATAGCTTACATTTTAACGACTTCAAGTACCAACGACAGCTAAAACGAGTCTTTAGCCAAAATTCGGTCAGTTGATAAAGACTTGGATCTTAAAAGACAGAAATGAAATCGTGGTTATATTTTTTTGTGTTCGTCTGCCTAAGACGCGATAAAATTTATTAAAACAAAGGAAGTGTCTCTTTGTGTCACTTGTTGACCAAAGAGCTGGAGAGGGGAAGGCGACAGATGACAGAATCCAGATGTAACCGACCACCAGAGGCATGATTAGAATTCCCCGCTGATGGAAAAACGGGTGATAATTGAATTTAACCATTTGGGCTAGAACACGTCTAGCCTCTGAGAACAGGCTTGATCGGGAGACGGGGAGAGAGATGTAGGCACAGGTAGAATTTCACGGAAGATGGAGAAAGAGAGAGAGAGAGAGAGAGAGAGAGAGAGAGAGAGAGAGAGAGAGGGAGAGAAGAATCGCCTTTATATAATATTTATGCATTACACCCTAATCTATATTCGGTAAAAATTTCATTGCTAATCATGCATTACTTTTAAAAGTAATACACATTTATGTCTTTGTTGTTTCCGTTCCTTATATTATGGCCGCACCTGTATATGAAAAAGAAGCAACATTTTTATTGCAAAAGTTTCATATTTTAAAATTCGAAGTTACGTAATTTACTCACTCTTGCTCGGATGTGAAGCCACCAAATTCGCAACAGCTGCTATGACCAACACAGTTGCCATGATAACAAGAATTAACCGCGAGGTGTTCATGTTTATTTCTTCGTCGAATTTCTGAAGATCCTGTCGCAGCAATAAAGAAAAATAATTTACAATCGTAGAACACAGATGATTTGAAATCTGCCTGAAATGGAGCACATAAAGGGTTTAAAACAAAAAAAGAACCAGTAATCTCCCTTTAAGCTTAATATAAAAATTTAAATTTCACAACTTTAAAGTAATTGTTTTTACATCTATCTATATAAGCGCAATATACTTGTATCCATCCGTCCGTCCGATTTTTGATCTCGACGAACCTGGCGTAACGCGATTAAGAATGAAATAAATAATTCATTTAAAGTTAAATTTAAATATCGAACAGCATGAAAGGTTTTAAAAATTAATTCTTTATTATTTAATTTTGCTTATCATTGCAATTGCAATTGATATTTTAACTGTAATTGAAACTTAAGCGAGGCACCGTACGTTGTTCATATGTTTTTTTTTTTCTTTCAGCGCGCGTGTGTGACGTATTCGAAATATTACATAGTTCGGGTTCTTTAATGTCTTTTAAGAGTGACTTTATGTAAAAAGGATCATAAAGAATGGTGGTTTTAAAAAGAAAATAAAAATTGCGCGTAAAATGAATGTAAACAAACTACGGAGATTGGTTGCGTATACGAAGAAAGATTGTGCCGAATTAAGGTGTCGAATAAAGATAAAATAATTTTCATATTTCTAAATTCTTATGACGTTTACGTACATAGGACGCTGAAGGTAAAAGGGCTGAAAGCCCAAAAGCCATCAGCAGGAGCTACCCTAAAGTCCGCTCGAAGAGCAGCTTCTAGGTTATTATATATATATATATATATATAAATTCTGTTTATTTTAGATGCCAAATATATTTTTCAAAATTATAAACTGTAATTCTCGTATAATATTGCATTGCGGTAACCAGATATTTTTTTATTAAATTAAAATTACGTAACGGTGAGTCGATACATAGCACTTGAAGATTGCGTTGTGCACAAAACTCCGAGTCGTGCTACTTGTGAAGGATAATATATAAATTATTTTTGAAATATATATATATTTTTTTATATATATATATATATATATATATATATATATATATAATGTCTGTTTAATTAAAAACAGACCATTTACTTTTCTCAACATAAATTATATCTATATAAAATAATATATAAATAGATATATATATATATATTTTTATAATATATATATATATTTTTTTTTTTTTCAGACAGACAACTTCCTCATCAGACCGGAGTTATAAAATGGTTAAATTCACCCAGGCAATTTATTAAAATTACAAATTTGATCTCGAGATGAGAGAAAGTGGGGAGAAGAAAAAACAAAAGTATCAACCGAACAAGCAGGGCTGATAGAGGGAAGATATTGTTTCCTCTTTTAGTCTTCTCATTATTTTTCACTCCCAGAAACCCTTTGCATCTTAGTGACATTATCGTCCTAGTTGGGGTGAATTGATTAGTCTCTTTCTCTCTCTCTCTTTATATATATATATATATATATATATATATATATATATATATATACACACACACACACACACATATATATATATATATATATATATATATATATATATATATATATATATATATATATATATATATATATTATAATAATAGGAGTAGATAGGTCCGCCTATTGTCCGGTTCATCCTCGTCTTTTCTTTTGAACAGGACTTCAGGTTTATCCCTTGTTTCCTGTTTAGGATTGGGTTTCTGGTTCCTTCTAAAGTTTTCTTATTCTCTTTCTTAATAACACTCCATGATTAATATATATATATATATATATATATATATATATATATATATATATATATATATATATTATTATAAATATGATATAATTTTATATGCATATGTATGTGTGCGTGTATACATAAGATATAAAAATTACAAAATTATTGTTTTAAAAGTTCATATCCATATTCTGAAATGATTAATATATATATATATATATATATATATATATATATATATATATATATATATACATATTTATATGCATATGTGTGTGTACATAAGATATGTGATTGTATGCCTTAAAACTCACCATTGAACATTTTGGCACTTATCTATCTATCTATCTATCTATCTATCTATCTATCTATCTATCTATCTATCTATGCCTGCTCATTCATATCTATCTATCTATCTATGTGCACATCTATCGGTTAATTTATCTAAATGTATGAATGAGAGCATCTATCTATCTATCTCAACATGGGATGTAGGAAATAATAAAGACTTGCTTACCTTGGAGATTTTTGCAACACAACTTCTCTCTCTTCTGGATACACTCAAAATGTGGAAACGTACAATGTTTTTAACGATATATTTTGGTTATCGATTCAGTTGCCTATTTTAACGATTCATCAGTAGTCTTTAGATGGCATGGGAAAATAGATTTATCTTTCTGAAAACTAAAATAAATATATCCAAATACTCGACAGCTGTAATTTATAATCAACTGATCCATTCCAAACCAATAAAAATAAAAAACAAAAAAAAAAAAAACACTTCGTTTCTTGAACGTTTGCTCGTTAAACAAATTTAATGCAATTCTTGGTGTATTTATTTTTTTTTGAATTGACAGATAACTGTCATGATATCTTACCGCCAGTCACTGATACTGAATTTTGGCCGATAGAGCAATCAAATATCGGGAAATGAGATTAGGAAGATTGTGCTGCACCAGTATACCAAATCGGGAAAACTAAATATATTTCAGCAATTGCATTTAATATGCATATTATATTTTTCTCTAAATATTTTCATGGCAACTGCTTTTACGAGATTTTTTCCCAGCCACGACCATATGAATTTAAACGTGCTACAATATTGTCATCTAGGTCCCATCTGTTTACTGTTGAAACCACCACTTCTACTCCAACAGTTTCTTTTCTTGAACTTCCCACCTGTGGAATTCCCTTCCGTTTACTTGCTTCTCTGATAGCTACAATTTAAATGCAACGTGAATCGCTATCGTCTACCTTCTTGAATCTCGCTCATCTTTTGTCTTTTCCGCTATCTTCCCCAATAATCAGTTTTTTTCTCTCGCTTTCACTCCCTGTAAACCCCTGCGTACTAGTGGCATTCCTACCTTGGTTTAGGGAAGACATGTCCAAAGTTTCATATGGCCCCCATAATCTGTCATAGAATATGTCATTTACGGGCTGCCAGTATTGTCAATCAGAGTGTGAAAAGTACACACCTAAGAAATGCAATTTCATGTTTTAACAAAAGATGGAGTAGCACTGTGTGGTCGCCTTCTTGAGGTGTGACCCTGACCTTGGCCTTTTCCAGCCAATTTCTAAAATCACCGCCTTTGAATCAGACCTGGCCTACATTCTGCAGCCCAGATCCCAGCATCACCCTTCATATTAGTGCAGACAAGTTATTTGTTTTGGCCATCTGAGATGAATAAATTCTAAAATGTTAGTGAATTAAATTTGTTTTGTGTTGGTCAAAATCAATTATAAATAAATTTGAACACTTGGATTTGTGTCATTTTATGTTTTCTACTTCTTAATAAGATGAATGTTTGTATCATGTTCCTATTCATAAGTTTTTAACTTTAAACTTGACAGACAACATTAATTATTAATAATATGTAATGTTTAAGAATTGCCTGCGGTATATTACAGCTCCCTAAAAGTACTTTTTTCTCAAACATATTTTAATTCATCTTATATGGGCTTCAGATATGGCAGGCTGAGTGATTTTGCTAAGACCTGTTTAAATTTATTAGTCATCCATGTAAAGAAATGAAAATATACCCTTTGCAATAAAATTTTCATAAGATAGTTGATATGAATTTAATTTTAATGGTTCAAAGAATGCCAAGCAGAATGGTTGGCCATCATGCATATTCACCTCATCAAATCTGGCCCTCTTTGAAAATAGTTTGAATACCACTGGTTTAATGCAATTGTTGCTATAATTTTTGTTTCGAATTGACAGATAACTGTCATGATATCTTACTGCCAGTCACTGATACTGAATTTTGGCCGGCAGAGACATCAAATGTCGGGAAATGAGATTAGAAGAAGGAATTTATCGATAAATAAGGAGGAAACAGACAATTCATGCCTCTTATTTCAGCGTACCCTAATCTTCTGTTATATTTCTTAATTATGTTTTTTCCTTGTCTCGAGTATGTTTAATGACATGCTACAGTCAAAGAAATAATAGCCCTATACTTTCATTTCTGGACTTGTAAACAACCCGTGAAATATGGTAACTGAAGAATCCCAGACTTTGTGATGCTGCTTCAGTTTCAGCAACGAATAGCCATGTTCTTAAATAGTCAGTTCGGGACTTCATATGGATGTCATGCAGGGCGCCAAACAAGTTCTGAAATTGTCAACTGTATACAACCGCTTTCTAAGGTCAATTGTTAAAAAAAGTCTTTAAGGATAGGAACCAACGATAATCCTTTTTGAACATTAGAACTGTCGCTACAGATTTGCAAGCAAAGAACTGTAGCAAATAGCAGAAATCATATCAATTGAAGACTGCCAACAGCAGCAACTACTAAACCGAATAGTTGTGAAGTGAAACACGCTAAGGTTATGTACTATACGATAAACGTCAATGGTAGCTAAGTTACTGAAATGTCTAAATATATATATATATATATATATATATATATGTGTGTGTGTGTGTGTGTGTGTGTGTGTGTGTTGGTCGTACCATGAGTAGGTTGTCTCGAAGGTTGTGTTTTCATTTGAATGATTCATCAAACATCTCTCAGCATTTACAACAGCATGCTTGTCCACATTCACAATTTAGGAAAATTCTCGTCAAAAATATATCTATACGTTTTCATGAAAATAATAAACATGAGGTAAAAATACATGAAGCTAGCTATATTCAAAAAATCAAACAAACCTTTAATAAAATGAATTATGAATACTGTTTTAAAATGTTTACAGTAGATAGTTTAAAATATCTAAGTTTTAATTGATAGTT